CAGCTGGAAGCCTCTTTTTTTATTCTGGGGTAGCTCGTCGAAATATGAATAAATACATAGTTTTCACTGGCCGGAAAATATGGGAAACCTCGGAAAAATTGAGTCCATTTGAAATTCACCGTAAAAACTTACTATTTTTTTTTTAAATTTGGCTGGAATAGTCTCTCGCAGTATTAATAATGATGACATAATTTTTACCCCCGTAAATCTCGGAAAATCCCGGAAAATCAACATATATTTTTTCATCGTCTATCGATGATGTAATAATACTTATATATTTTATAAATTAAATTTCAGGAAAATTTTAATAGTGTGGCTCATTAGGCTAATTAACCGATATTCTGAGCATTTTCTCGCATTGTGTTTTATAGGTATTGCGAATAAAGATAGATTTGAGCCAATCTGCAGGAATCACTCCGGTGTTATACATTGAATTAAAAAGTCTTACTACTACTTTTATGTTATCATTCTCTATTAGTTTCAGCAACTCAGCTGGTGTATCATCTAGACCACAAGCTTTTCTAATTTTAGCATTATTTATAGCATGTTCTACTTCGCATTTCATAATTTCTGGGCCGTCAGTACAGTTTTGGTAGAATTCGACAATATTATTCCTATCATCTTCAAACAACTCCGATATATACAGCTGCCATTCTTTTCTTATTTCTTGCATATTTACAATAATTTTGTTATTAGTGTCAACAAGTACAGAGGGAACTCGTTTTTTAAATATATTTCGCTTATTCCCAGAATATTTAATTTCATGTGTGCCATTTCTTGTATTGCATTATGGATTTTACCTTCCTGTGCCACGGTTTTCACGTTCCATGTTCCATGTCTTCTTTGCATTTTAATCTTTTTGTTACACTTGTAACAGCTCCTCCCGGAAATCCGATTAAGGAGCTTACTCCGGAATTGAATTTCGCTGCAAGCATAGCCATTTGATTCTATTAGGACTTATCCAGTCTGGATCTTTAATAAGGTGTCTCGTCCCAATCTTTCTTCCTCATCTCTATGCCGTTGACCACTTCTACGGTTCTTCCCCCTTTGAAGCCAATTTCCCAACTTCATGACAAAGAGGTGCCCTACCATTTACTAACTCCTCCACCCGAAGCTATTGGCCAGTAAACGGGGGATTGCTTATACCGGCAATAATCGGTGGAATTTTTGCCATATCTGGCTAGCCTGACTTAGTTTAGCCTACCACCAATTTATATCTTTATACAGAGCGAAGCCAGATAAGTGATGCACAGATTAATCCATAGTCAGCGACATATAAGCCAGATGCATGGTGCTGACAACAGAAAGCTAATGGCTAAACGCCGATATTGTGATGGGGCAACCTATCGATGCAACAGGTACGAGATATAGCTTTAACAATAAGTTCACAATTAAAATACCAGGCAGGGAAGACTGAAATAAAGGTGTACCCATTCAAGCTGCTGCTTCCTGGTACACGGATGATTCAAAAACATCGGAGGGTGTGAGTGCCGGCATAGTAGTGACAAATCAAGGGATACATTTCCCGGTAAGTCTATCTAAGGATGTGACAGTTTTCCAGGCAGAAATAACCGCAATCTATCCACTGCGTGGAAGAAATAAAAAGGCAGAAAGGAACGTTCTGTTCAGTTGCATTTGCACAGATAGTCAGGTAGAGCTTAAGGCACTCAATTCTGTAGAGGTCGATTCTAAGCCAGTATGGGATTGTGTGTATGCCCTAAATAAACTAGCAGACCGTAGCAAGCTTACGGTAACCTGGGTACTGGAACACGAGGGTTATAAGAACAATGAAAAAGCAGATAAAATGGCCAAACAAGGCTCATCAATGCCATTCATTGGACCGGAACCCATTTGCGGTGTTGCAAAACCAGTAACAAGAACGGCTAAAACGAAGTGGGTAGCTCACAAATCTCTGGAATGGTGGAAAAATTCACCAGGACAAAAACAGGCAAAACAGTTCATTACAGAACATGAACATTATCAGAATATTTGGTGATCAAACAAAGGCTCAACAGGACTATTTTAAAGCGATTAAAAATAAACTATAAACTTTGATTGATAACGGTGATACAAAAACTATTAGATATATAAATAATAAACCAACTATCGTTTCAAAATCCATTCAAAAAAAACATTTTGTAAACCCTAATATACCTTTTAACTCCGATATAATTTATCTCAACGCCCAAAGCATAGTAAACAATAGAGACCAAATCCAAGAATCCATAACTTGCTATAACCCCAAAATAATTTTATTGAGTGAAACTAGGACGACATCATATTGAAGATATTAAAGTTAAACTTGAAAATTATTGTCATATTCGTTGTGACTCAACGAGTAGATACAGTGGCGGTGTTATGCTATATATCAACAAACATTATAATTTTTCAAATTTTAAAACATTTGCGTAATAATTTAAAAAAATTGCGTAATAATTATTGGTGCAAAATAATAAAACTTGATGTTAAATCCATGGTTTACTTGGTGGGATGTTTATACCATTCACCATCCAGTTCTGATGCTCAATTTATTGAAGATTTGGAAGAAATATGTGATGCCTCATTTACTACAAACTACCGTGGGTGTTAGTTGGTGATTTTAATATTGATTTGTAGGCTAGTATTTTCTATGGTGAAAAAAATTAAAAAATTGTTTTCGGCTTATGGGATAAAATAATATATTAGTGATCCTACCCGGATAACTGACACTAGTAACACTTTGGTAGATTATGTACTTTCTAATCAAAATAATATAAATGGTTGTATTCACGATTGTCCAAAAATTACTGATCATTCTGTTATTTCAGTAAATATCTCCAATAATAATAGTTATAATATATCTGATTGTAATATATCCAAGTTTAGAAATTTATGTAATCAAAACTTAGATAGAATCAAAACTAATCTTATCATGTGTCACTTTAATTTAGATTCTGTTGATATCATTTACCAGGAAATTTTACAAAATTGTGAAAATGTAATCAGTGACATAATACCAATTGTAAAATGCCAGTTTCAATCAAAATTACCTTGGTTTGATTATGAGGTGTTTAAACAAATTAAACAACGTGATAGGGCTTATAAAGAATTTAAAAAATGTATTGATGTCATTGAAAAACAACATAAATGGCAGGCTTTAAGAGACATAGAAATGAGGTAGTAAATATGTTAAAGCTAAGAAAAGAGCGGTCCTATTTTAACAATATAGACAGGTATAGAAACAATCTAAAAAAAAATGTGGAAAACTTAAAAAAAAATAATCAATAATAATAGTCGAGAAATGCACTGTAATCTTTGAAAATATTACTGGTCTAAAACGGTTAACAAACGGAGTAGAAATAGCTGGCAGTTTTAATGAGTATTTTGTTGAAAGCATTGAAAGTATTGTTCAAAGTATTAATAGTTCTGAAACATGGTGTAATGTAAATAGTAATCTATATTTAAATTTAATTTTGAAAAATTTGAAACGCTTTCTATGCAGGATTTGCAAAAAAATTGTTGGCAATTTGGATAATAAAATCTCACTACATGAAACGTTAAATTGCAGAATGGTAAAGGTTTTTGAAACAATTGGGCACGTTATGTTAAATTTAATTAATACGTCTCTTACTACAGGTATAATTCCTGATGTAGTAAAAGTAAGTAGTATCACCCCTATTCAAAAACTACCCAACACTATCAAAGCTGAAGAATTCAGACCAATCAATACTTTACCTCCTATAGAGAAAATATTAGAAATTGCTGTTTATGAACAATTATTAGAACATGTAACTAAAAATAAAATCTTAATTAATAATCAATCAGATTTTCAAAAACGTCACATAAAGAGTAATTTAGATAAAAATAAGTACGTAGTCGGCTTATTTCTTGATTTAAAAACAGCTTTTGAAACCATTGACAGAACAATAATGATTTCTAAACAAACAATATGGTATAGGAGGTACAGTAATTGTGTTGTTAAAATTATTTACAAGATCGCAAACAGAAAATTCGATTTAAAGACCAATTGTCATCTGAAATGGATAATAATACAGGGATTCCTCAAGGTAGTGTATTAAGTCCTCTTTAATTTATTCTGGACATTAACGATATCGATATTTTTGTAATATGTGAATTTATTAATCTTTTTGCCGATGATACTCTAATCTGTTGTAGTGATAAAAATTTTGATTTAGCTTATTCGCTCTTTTTTAAAAGCTTCGTTAAATTTAATCAGTCACCAACATCTGTAAAAAAATGTACTAGTGGCAATAATTTCAAACTGTTACTTAAACAATATATCAAAAATTTATAGTGTACTTTCTTTATATTGTATGTATATTAGGGTTCCTATTTAAATAAAGATCTATCTATCTATCTTTAACATTCGCCAAAATTTACGGCAGACCTAATAAACAAAGACAGGAAAACAGTCAAAGCCATAGTAGGTCTTCTAACAAGGCACTGTAAGCTGAATAGGCACTTGAAGCTGATGGAATTATCAGATAATGACCTGTGCAGATTTTGTCACCTCGAAGAAGAAATTGTAGACCACATTTGGTCAGTGTGACAGTCTGGCAAATGGCGGTTCTTTGCATTAGAAGCACATGGAAGATACAGTCTTGAAGCTATTAGACTTTATAAAAACGGTCAGGCCAAAAAATGTTATCTAGGACTAGAGACCACAATAGATCTGAAAAGCTCGCAGTGGAATAGGCCAAAAGACCACATCTCTAAATCTATCTATCTATCTAAGGATTACCTCTATAATTTGCAATACTCTTATATTAAGCCTTTGGGGGACATAGATAAATAAAAATATAAATTAATATTTTGATACTGTTGACGTCAATCACACAGCTTTATCTGTTATGTTTTTGTTACTAAACCACTTACACTATAATATGTTTATTCTACTAATGTTTCTTATCTTCTCAATTTTTTTTAAATATGCATATAGATTTTTTGCAAAACCTAATAATAATATTGACAGTTTCTACAGACGTATATATAAATCAAAACTTTACTAAAAAAATTATTTAAGAAATAAGATACAAAAATGGTTGTGGTTAAAGTTGAAAAAAATAAAGTTTCTCAAAATGAGCAAGAAAAGACATGGCCACAAATTTACGCCGTGTTAATAAGTAAGTATACTAAGTATTTCGTGAAGTGATTAATAATAAATAACTAAGCTATAAATATAATACTGTGCATTATTCTACTTTTGGCATACATGTTCTCTTATCTTTTCCATTAGTTAGTGGTGTTATCATCAACCTTCTTCTAGCATATGTCTTAACATTATTAGTCTATATCAGCTGAATACTCGTTCCAAATTTCTTATATCTTTTCTAATAAGTAGGATGTGGTGACATTTTCGGAAGGAGAAGAGATTCAATAAGGGTATAAAAACCTACTTAAGATATCGACACCTGATATGAAAAACATCGTAACTCACTTTTGCTTAGTTTAGACGAGAGAGATTTAAAAAAATTCCCGCAACATTTTATTTTTTTACTTCGTCAGTTTTAATATTTTTTGTAATTTTCTTAATCCATATTTCATATCTTTCAGTCAGCTTTTCACTTTCACGTACTGCATTATTGTTACAATTACTGGTCCTGATTTAGATCGAGTTACAAGAAGTTTTTCAAGAAGTTTAGCTGAAGATTAGTGTGAGAAGAGGTTTATACAATGATATTTCAACAAAGTATAAGCACATAAGTTTCTTTCATTAGGTGCATATAAATGGTAACTAATGAGTATTTATCAACATAAGGATATTAATATTAGTTTTTTTAATGATTTTACCTTAACGTGATTTTTTCACTTAAACAAATATCTAAGAATTCACATCATGTATACTAACAAGAAGTAAATAAAATATTATCTTTTAGATTTATTTATTATAAATTGAGCATTTATAAATTGTAAAACAGTTTATAATATTTGTATAACTGTAATCTTCCGCAGATCCAATATCAAAGGTAGTAAAACAATGATACACCTCTGATTGGGGTGTAGTACCTCTTGCAAATCAAAGCAAGCAGTTATAACTGTTGCTGTTTTCTTAGAAACCTCTATCACGATTTTTGGCTTCACATGCAACAAATTTTATCTCTCTCTTTCTCTTCAATTCTTGCCCCCCCGGAGTGAATGTAGTGGTCATAGTGATGTGTATTATCTGTCTCCAAAGACCCCTGCCTTTTATCATTTCTTTTTGTATTTCTCATATATCAAACGTTCATGGATCAATCTTACTGTTACTGTTCCTGTTACTTGTTCCTGGAGCAAGTATAGGAAGACATATTTTTGCTCATCTCTTCATTTCTGAAGTAGGACAGTTAAGCTATAAAGTGCTGCTCTTGTGCCAAATCCTTGTCTGAAACCGTGTGTGTAATGTCTCTTTCAAATCTGTTGTATATTCTTGTGTGAATTATCTTTAAGAAGAGTTTTAGAACCTGGCTCAATAACCTGATCATTCATATTTTAACTAAATAATATTAAACTAACAGTTCTGATCAACGCTTAATAGTTAGTTATTTGTCGACCAGGTGAGAAATATGCACAGTGCAACATAAGAGAGACCAGATTGTTTAACAAGGGTTCTTTGATATTTTGGGATGGAATGACAGCAAGACATGAGTTGGTGTCTTTACGTTTTGGCTCTTTAAATAGCGAAAGGATATTTCAGAACACGTTGTTCCTTTCACACTTTATCTAGGAAATAATTTCATCTTAATCTACGATAACGCAAGGCCTCACGTAGCAGCTCGATTAATATCTAGGATATCTAAAAGTCAAAAAAACATGAGAATGTAACATGATTTCGATATCGGTGTATACCCACCCTTGTACCTTGTGTTCTTGGTAAACCTTTGCTCAACAGTGTAAATATCAAAAAAAATATTTACAATAATATTAATATTGAGTGTAGAGTTTGACACTCTTATCTTAAAATGTCCCATGTATTTCTGGTCTGCTCTTGTTGGTTTTAGGTTAATTAAATATACTAATATATAAACTACTGGTAGAACACTTAGTTTAAATGTCTTCAAAGAGTTCACAGGGTGTTTTTTGTTTCAGGTACAATGGTCGGAATTACCAACGGACTATTTTACGCATGGGCATCCCCATTCATGATACAAATAATTAACGACAAGGTGAATTACAACATCACAGAAGAACAAGCATCGTATTTTAATACAATAAATCCAATATTTACCGTTCTTATCTGTCCGTTCTGTTCTAAACTTACTGATAATCTTGGTCGTAAGAAGACAATATTGCTGATTGCAGTACCACAGATAGCGGGTTGGCTGTGCGCCGCATTTGCCAAGGATGTTTACCTGTTCTATATATCACGAGCTTTCGCGGGAATTGCCGATGGAATATTCTTTGCTGCTCTTCCTCCTTATGTCGGAGAAATAACGACACCTGAAGTAAGGGGAAAGTGGGGAAATTGTCTTGCTGGCTCTTACTATATAGGAGAGTTTTCAATTAACGTCATAGGCAGTTACTTTGGGGTTGTAACAAGTTCCTACATATGTTTGCCATTGCCTATTATATTCTTCATTTTGTTTTCAATGATACCCGAATCTCCTTATTATCTATTAATCAAAGGCAAAGAAGAAGAAGCAAAAAAGTCCATAATATATTTTAGAGGAGACAAAAATATTGACCAAAATTTAAATCAACTCAAACACGATGTTCAGCGACAAATGTCAGAATCAGGAACATGGAAAGATTTGTTTGCAATAAAAAGTAATAGGAAGGCTTTGTTAGCTGCATCTTTTTTGCGATTTACACAACACACGTCTGGTCTTTGTATTTTAGTATCATTTTCACAGTTTATTTTCCAAAAATCTGGAGGAAACTTAAGTCATGAGTTGTCTTCTATAATATACACAGGTCTCCAGATGACGTTGAACTTTATCGTCATGACTTTTATCATGCACAGGTTTTCACGAAGAGGCTGCTACATGACAAGCACTGGTCTTAATGGTATAGTACTATTTTTTATGGCAACCTATTTTTACCTCAACGATTATACTGACATCGACGTTTCGACTTTTAACTGGTTTCCAGTAGTCAGCACGATTGTATTTCAAATTGTTGCTTCATTTGGCTTAAGTGTCCTTCCCAGTCTTATGATGAGTGAGCTCTTTTCGGTCAGTATTAAATCCAAAGCAATGGTCTTGGTTGTTTTAATCTTTGGGGCAGGTGGTGCCTTAACCAATTATTTGTTTTATTTAATCAACAAAAGTGCTGGATTTTTTGCACCCTTCTATGTATTTGCAGCATGTAACATTCTAACCGCAATAATAACCTATTTTATATTACCAGAAACAAGGGGCAAGACCTTAGAAGCTATTCAGCAGTCTTTGAAGAATAACAAAGTATATTAAAAATCGGTATTATTATCGATATTAGGTTATTTTTAGTCTGTGATAAATCCTTAAGTGTAATAAATTTTTTTAATAATTGTTTTTATTTATACCTGATCATGTGTATGGTATTTCAAATTAGAAAAGATGGGATTCTCCAAACTTATAAATTCTGTTAGGTGAAGAGTTTCGAGAACATTATTTAGGTAGTGCTTCGATACTAAGAATAGTTCAAGATAGAGATCTATTTGATGTAGTTATAGCCAACCTTCAGTAATGGAGAGGGCACATTAAGAAGAAGAAGAATAATAAAATATATATGGAAATAGATATAAACATAAGCCAGGATTAAGTATTTTAATTGGTTACCCATATATAACAGATATTTAGGTATCTTAAACAGGAATTCCACCTATTTCCTACCGTAAAAAGGGGTTACATTGAACATTTTCTTCATATTTTGTTGAATAAGTTTTGTATCTGTTGCTCAATCGAATAAAAAAAAATACCTCTTATGGGTCACTATAGAAGCATGACTTTACATACGTTAGATTATCTCTTGGGCGTAGCTATGTAAAAATAGCTATAAAAAAGTTGCTGTTCAATTTTACCCCGGGTTCGGGGTAACATTGAACAGTAGTATAAATCGGTGTCTACGATTTATAGTTATATTATATGCCCACAGGTTAGTTATTCGTTCAATTTAACCCCGCCAGTGAAACAAGCGGAAAAAACTAGTGGGGAGTGTTTTGTTTGTTTTTTTTTCTCAATGGTTATATTTATTGACAAAATATTTTTTTACATTCTTTTTTATTAAACTTTAAATTCTTTTACACAGTCTTATAAAATCATCTTTCAAACTAAAGAAATTGATAATTTTCAAGTCAAATGACAAAACATAAGGGAAACGTATAAACGACAGTCTAGAAGGATTTTAGCCCAGAGTATACCCATTAAATTGGATCGAAAAAACCACTTTTCCGCGGCGGTCTTCAGCTGGAGCTGGCAGAAGTCTCTCAAAATCTGAAGAACTTACGACTGATATGTCGTCTATCTGAAAATAAATCAACAATCGATTTTCGTATAATGCAAAATGCACTGAAAAATTTACCTCTGGCCAATAGAAGGCAGAATTCTTCGCAATTCTCAGGAACTTGACCACATAATCTCCATAAGGCAGTTTTTCTTTTATAAGACCAACGAAAAATTTCAAGATCTTTTTGGTTGCAAATCTCACGAGCACATAAACGTCGACGACTGTCGCCACTGTTGGTCTTTCGATCTCCTCGTTCTTTTCTTGGTGTATTTCATCACAAAATGTCTCGAAATCACAATCAGATTCGTCCTGAAGCTCTAGTTCGTAGTCGGAACTGTCACTATCCAATTCCTTAGTAGACTTTTTCTTATTCTTCGTGGGTGGTGCAGAACATCCAGAACTTTCTCCTATTTCAAAATCTTCCAATCCAATGCTTTTACCCGGTGCGATGTTAATTTTCTTTTTTCTTTGAGTTCTAGCTCTCTTTTTGTTCCTAATACCCTGTAGAAATTGTAAAACTGTGTCGTTTAAACTGTTTCCAAAACTTTCATTTGATTCAGTATCATCAATACCAGGCAATTTCTTTAATATTTGATTTCTGTCTAAAGGGTATATACCCGTTGCCCGAAAGCCACTTTGAAGGTTTTGTTCACCAGTTTCTGCGAATTTTACTATCAGCTTTTTTAAAAGTTTTGGAAACATCTCCTTTGGAAGACCAGTTGATCCCGTTGCTAACTTATAATCGCTGAGTATTGCACGCCATTGTTTCTTCAGTGGTGCGAACATCGCGACATCCAGGGGTTGAGCGATATGCGTAGTATTCGGCGGTAAACATATGAATCGAATATTATTTTCAACCGACAGTCTGATAATTTGGTCAGAAAAATGGCTCGCCAAGTTATCCCCGATTAATACTTTGACTCCTTCTTCATGTCTCGTGGACTAAAGAAAAACAGAAGTAAACCAATTTAAAAATGTTGCAGAATCGAACCATCCATGAGCTGTTCGGTTGTATCTGGTTTTATCGGGTCCTCCTTCCGTCCAAGTTGTCCAAAGGTTTTCTGCTTTGTAGACTACATACAGAGGCAGCAGAACTCCTGAAGCGCTTCCACAAAACATCAAAGAAATGTTTGATTTTGATTGAGATAATTAACGTTATGGGTATTTCACCCCTCTTTTAAAAAAGCATCTTGCAGACCCAGGATCATCCGATAAATTTGTCTCATCGAAATTGTATATACAATAGGGGGAAACTCCATCTAAACATTGCTCAAGGTTATCAAAATAAGCAATGAAAACTTCTCTAGTAGAAGATGCTCTATTTGGGTTTATATTTTGAGATTTTTTTACACTTATTTCTCTGTTTCTTTTCAGAAAACCTTTAATTAACTCCATACCAGGCAAATTATTTTTAAACTGCTTAACTCTCTTACCCATTGTATCCAAATGGCTTTTCATAACATCGAAGCGTCGTGAGTCAAAAGAAAGCCCCATTCAGCGGTTTTCAAAAGCATCTTCACCAGTGCCTTTTCTTCGTCGTTGTTTAAAACTGTGGGCCTTCCGAGGTCCTTCATTTTTTTGTTGCTCAGTTTGTGACTTAATGTTCCTTTTGGGATTTTGTATTTCTTCGACGCCTTGGAAAGTGATAACTGTTTTGTTTTAATTTCGCGGATTGCTTGATTCAAAGTATCAGAGGTGTAATTTTTGTATGATCGACTACCCAACTTTCTAACGTAATCACGCATTTTGGACTGAGATTATCGCCCTACACTACCTATTGCACCACAACTGAATTTCCTAACCACACAATGTTCCTACCGCCAAGCCAACCAATGTTATACTGAGCTCTGAGCTGAGTGAATTTCATTCAAAACGAGGTAGCGTAACGTCAGACAATAATATTTAGATGGAACTCGATTGACGCCGCCCAAGCACGTTCAATCCTGCCGTTCAATGTTACCCCACGTTCCCAAAATAATTGACATATTGTTTGTATAAATTATTTAAAAATATTCAAAACCCTAATCATTTACAGTATTATGTAGAATAAGGTTCAAATAGGTACTAGTATCCTGTAAAATTAGTCATGAGAAGATATCTTTTGCATGTCGCCGGCTGCAGACCAAAGTTTGAGAGATTTTTTTTACTACCTTTTATTTCAGAAACCATTTTTTATTTCATTTTTGTTAATTTTGAGAACCTGCCAGAAATTTTACCAGGATGTCCAAGAAAAACATATTTATAACCCTCAAAAAAATATATCGGCCCCAAAAAAAAGTTTAGGCCAACTTGTAGAAAAATATAATCTTCATTGCAAAACTGTTCAATGTAACCCTCGGGTTCAATGTAACCCCGTTTTACGGTACTTTATTTCAAATATATTATATTCAAGAGTCATTACAGAAGTGTAGACACAAATGTTTAGTTGTTAAAATCAAAGTTATCGGGACCTACCTGATGATAATTATCAAGTAATATTGGCAAGCATAAATACGAACAGGCAGGAATAAAAACAATTATAACCAAAACAGAATAATTACTCCGAGTAGGTGGAAGTAAAAGAAATATATGTAAAAATATAACAGGATTAAAAATAAGGTTGCTTTAAGGTAACTTTAAGGTGGCTAAAAGTATTTTTTCTAACGATCTCCAAGATTTCCTGATTCATCCCCAACCAAAAATTCATGCGAAACTGTGGGTAGAATATTTCTAAATCTATTCTTTACTATTGCAAACTTCAACACACGCTCCCACAAGTGACCTGAAATAACATCCCTATGGAATATCGACCACTTAATCAGATTGATTTCAAGCAGCCTTAATAAATTAATAACACAACATGGCGCATTTATATATTTTTTAACTTCCTTTATATATTGCAATCTGTTATCAATAGAACAATAAACAATATGTTTAGAAGATATAAACAAGTAACACAGTGGGAGCTACACCCAGAGGTGAGCACCCTTTAGCTATATTTATGTTACATTACCAAATTTTTGACTTTTATATAATTTGTAGGATGATCTTTTTCGTTAAGTATTGATCATTTAAATATATAAAAATGTATAAGAATTTATTTGATACGCCCCTTGCTGGTACGTAACAGTGATCTGAAGTTTGTTCACCTAGGTGTATTTTAGAAGTCACCTAGAAAAAAATATTAATTGCGCAGCTTTTAACCTGGTTTTACACGCACGCGTTTTAATTTAAATAAGTTCCCAATAAAGATAGAACTCCAGATTTGCTTAAACTGATTAAAAACTAGTACGGAGCTGATTAAAAACTAGTACGGAGAAACGAATTTGACAACGAGAAGTTAGTGGGAGTGTGGCAGTAGAAGCAAGGAGAACAAATTGGGGTCTGAACGAGGACACATCCTTCTCGGAGTGTTTCGAAAACAAGCAGTTTGGTTTAATACTATGAGTTTTGGTAAGAAAAAGGTCATTTTCAGCTCAAAGTGCTATGATGCAATCTTTGTAATGGTTTTGTAAGGGATTTGATAATAGCGTCCATTAGGGCTAAGTAAGCCGACATGGTTTTAAGTGAAAAATCGGCAGCCGAGGTTAAAGAATCCATATTGTTATCATTTAGGATAACCTGAGGCACAGTTTTGGTATTTGTAAGCCTCCATTTTGTGTCTCCCATGGGCCAGATCAGATTGTTTTGAAGTTTGTGTGGGACTGTGTAGTGTATTCAAATCCAAAGTAACAAACTTTTTTTAATAATTTCAATTAAAATAATTAGCCAGTGAAGTGATTAGTTCAAGTTCAATTTTTCTAAATCAACATGTATCTTTAATATACTAAGATTTGCTCTCATTTAGTTATTTGCTCTCAGATAGTTTAAAGGTTGAGAAATAAATATACGTTTTATGGATCAATTGATTGTCATATTTTAGTTTTTTCTTAAATAAAATTAATCTTGATAGTTAATTAATAATTTAGAACAGGTTGGTATTTCATTTCTACATATGGCATAGTATACAGAGTGACCCTAAAGTCTGGAAACGGCTAATTATCTCGTAAAATGCCAATCATAATTGTACAAAATTTGAAGTACACCTATTTTGGGATACGGAGATTCCATATTTGATATTTACAATGTTGACAGATTTGCTGTTTTTCTTATATTATTAGTAACTTTGGTTTTTCAAATACATCACCCTGTATATTCAGTCATTATTGGAATCTCCTATTAAATGCGAGTTCAACCATATATAACACTTACGATTTTATGTAATCTGGAAGGTCATAAATACATAAAATCGAAATCTGGCAACGCCTAAATTGTCTCAATAAATTTTTTAATACTAACTATTTTCAAATACATTAAAACGTAACAATTGATAGTTTAGAACATTTTTGTGTTTAGAACAAATGTGCTCAATTTGTCAGTTGACAGCACCCTAATCGATGGTAGAAGGGGGTCTACCACATTTCTTCATGATTGTCTAGAAATTATTCGAGATTCATTGATAATTCGTTGCCTTAGCTCTGCAAGACTTGCTGGTTAAGTTTTGTAAACTGAATTTTTCAAGTATGTCTAATAAAAATAACATTTAGGATTGAGATCGGGTGAACGTGGAGGCCATTCAATTCTACCTTGTCTACCAATTTATCGTCCGGGAAATATCTCATCTAAATAGCGCCGAACATTTACACCAACTATCTGACGTTAAATTTCTTTCGATAAAAAATGGCCCAATTAAATAAGTACCTACTATAACTGACCATACATTTAATTTTTGTGGTCTGTGAGTATAATTATACATAATTGTACATAATTATAATTATGTAATTTACGAGATAATTAGCCGTTTCCAGACTTTTGGGCCACTCTGTATATGGCATAACTTTTCTGCCATTTGGTACATAACCATATTTTTTTCAAGTCTGTTTTTTGTAAGTCTGTCAGCAATTGTTCAGTCCCGCTCTTTTAACCCACTATAAGCAAATTTGAAATTGTTACAAAATAAATAACTCCGATATATTTGTTTTTATTTATGCCTAAATATCTTTTATATTTGCTTTGTTGGCAAATAATAAAGATATATGTGTTGACATTCTATAATACTTTTATCTGGCTAAACTTTTGAGAAATAAAAATTGTTAATTTATAGCAATTATTTATTTAGTACTCTCCCATAAGCTTTCTTTCTATTGGTAAATAGATAAGATCATTCTGACAGGAATGTAGAGCGAAATTATAAGGTAAGTGTCTTTGCTGTGTCCTTCAAAACACCTAAGTGCTGATTTGTAAGATAAATGCACTTGCACCTGGATTTCCTATTTTTTTTTAATCCACACTTCCCATCCAAACAAGCATCAGTTGACGTCAGTCACATAGCTTTAACTATTATGTTTTTGTTACTAATCCTATTTTACACTATATTATGTTTATTCTACTAATGTTTCTTATCTTCTAAAAAAATTTAAATATGCATTTAGATTTTCTATAAAATGAGCGGAAAATATGTAAAACCTAATAATAATATTGACACTATATAATATGTACAGATATATAAGTAAAAACATTGCTAAACACTTTATTAAAGAAATAAGAATCAAAATGGTTGTAGGTAACATTGAAAAATATAAATGTTCGAAAAATGAGCAGGAAAAGACATGGCCACAAATTTACGCCATATTAATAAGTAAGTGCGCTAAGTATCTTGTGAAGTGATTATTTTTAAATAACTAAGCTATATATTGTGTTCTATTTTACTTATCCGTGTTATTGATACATATGTGCCTCTACTAGTCAGTATTATTGTCATCCACCTTGTTCTAGAATCTTTGTTAATATATCATTACTTCATCTCAGCTAAATTCTTTCACATGATGAAAGTATCAATACTCTCTTCAAATTTCTTATGTGTTTACAATAATTGCTCTATAACATTTTATATAATTCTGTTCCTTGCTTCTTCACTGTAAGTTTTTTTATTTTGTTATCTACATTTTTCTTACACGGTTTTTTTATTCCCTTATCCGTTCTTATGTTTAGTTTTCTAGATTTTCTTATTTATTCAATATTAATTCAATATCCAATACAATTTTAATACACAATATTGCTTTGTTATAATAGGAAGTATAACTCAACCGGTATTAGAGACTAAAAGCTTTAATAGATCAATTTTCTTCTATTTCATTCTATCATTCATTGGTTATCTAACCTAGCCTTCTTCTTTTTCTTCTTGTTCTTTTTTTTTTGGGCTATGTCCTAGACAATTTACCCAGTTTACTTGGAGGTAGACACTTTTTGTCTTGCTTCAGCAATGAGTGTCCACCTACACTTATATTCTTCCTTTGTTTCTTTTGGATTATTCTACATCTATACTTGTGTTGGTATTTTTCTTCTTTATATTCTTCTTGCATAAGGCGTTTATTGTATTTTCATTAATATTTGTTAGGATTGTGCAAATATTTATGGGAGTGGGAAGTTTAGTTTTAGCTAATTCGGCATATAAGTCGAAATGTGGGTTTTGGTTTAAGCGACATTCTAATAAAATATGGTTTAAGCCTCCCACTTGGCCACATTCGCAATAAGGATCATCTTTGACTCCAATTCTAAATAGATGAAGAGGGGATGAGCAATGACCTGTTCTCATACGGATGATTGTAGTTAAATGTCTCCTACTGATATATGCGAATTTATTGAACGTAGCGAGTGAATTCGGCTATTAATTTTGACATATTTTGTAATTTTAGTAAGTATTTTTTTCTCATACATTGGTGTTTCTTTTGAGACAATCTATTTTTAAGCCTCCGTATATTCTAAGTATCTATGGCTCTTATCTATCTAATTTTAGGTCCATATCCTTATTGGTTCCATGACATCTCTGAACGCGACAGTTCATAACTACACAATTTTTTTTATTGTTATATTGCATGTTTACAATTTGCTTTATACACAGAGTAATAAGTAAATAGGCTATAAGTAAATTAATGTGAGTTAGGTACCGTCCAGTGACGGTATTATTCTCTAAAACTCTAAGTATTAGTGCGTTAGGTCTTCAGGCCACACTCTCTTCAATCTTCTTGCGGCAAGTAGTTGGGTGAAAAAATTATTTATCAGTTCGTTGTTGTGATCAGTGATGCGAATTTTATATTTTATTAAGTGATTCTTTATTATGTTCTTAAGTAATGGGATGTTTAGATAATTGTGAAGTGTTTCAGCCCCATAGTTCTATTCCATCTGCCCAAACTGGTATAAGTATATCTTTGTACAGAAGTAGTTTATTTTCAAGAGATAACTGAAATCTTTTGTTAAATAGCCAGTTTATATTTTTTATGTAACAATAAAACACTGAAAACTTTGTTTTCAAACTTCCACAAACTTTATTTTAACTCTTATCACTACAGCTGTTTCGGCTGATTGCCTTTCTCAAGTGATCTAGTTTTGGCATGCGTTTACAATTTCTAATCTCTAATGAAGTAGGTTGAGGAGGGGAGAACTGTTTGTCTCAAGTTGGTCATTCAGAATTATATCTGTGTTTTTTAATTTGTTGATTTCTATAGATTCTAACAAAGATACCTTAAGGCCTTTATTTTGAATGTGAAGAATTTTAAATTTGTCATTAAAAGAATGATTATGATCTAGAAGGTGAAGTGCGTATGTCGAATCTATTTTTCTATTATGGAAAGCCCTTTTATGTTCTGCTATTCGTTTATTAAAGTTCCTACCACTTTGACCGATGTAAGTTTTTGGGCAGTCGCCACATTGAAGTTTGTAAACACTACTATTTAAGTGTTTTTTATTTTGGCTCTTGTTATTTTTAATATATTTGCCTAGGTTGTTATTTGTTAGGAAAGCTAGTGTTATTCCTTTCTTTTTTATGTTTTTGTGATCACTTCGATGGATATGGCCAAAGAACTTTAAAATTCTAGAGTAAACGGTACTGGAGAGACGCTGATCCGGTTTAATTTCATCCAGAACCGAGATATTTGTACGGCGAGCCGTCCATGGAATTCGAAGCAGGCGTCTCCATGTCCACATTTCAAAGGCGTCTATACGTCGTCGATCTGATTCTTTGACTGTCCATGTCTCGCATGCATAGTAAAATATGGAAAAGACCAGAGTTGAAACGAGTCTCTTTTTGTTTGTCACAGTAATATGACGATCACGCCAGACCCAGTTTAGTTCACTCATTGCTGCTCTTGCTAGTTAAATGCGTCTTCTAATTTCGGATTCACAACTGCCTGTGTTGTTACCTAGAGCTCCAAGATATATCATAGATGAGACTACCTCGCATCCCGCAATAGTTTGGGTTTCAGGAAACTGTTGTTGGCGATCAATAACCATGATTTTTTTCTGGAGTAGAGGCTAGAAGTGTAGTGTCGTCTGCGAAACGCAAGTTAGATATCTTAACACCACCTAGGTTTACTCCTCCCTCCCAACCATCCAAAATTCTGCGCATTATGAACTCCGAATAGATGTTAAATAATAAGGAAGATAAAACGCATCCTTGGCGTACTCCCTTCTCCAAAGTGCATTTGTCAGACAGACATCCGTTCATTCGAATATATGCCAGGTTATCTTGATACAGTTTGCTAATAAGGTGAGTCAAGTGTTTAGGTACACCCATTGTCGTCAATATGTTCCATAGTTTGTCCCATGTAACATTATCAAAGGCCTTTGTATAATCGACGAAACATATAAATATCGGGATCTGGTATTCTCTGGCTTTTTCTATGATGTTTCGTACATTAAGGATTTGTTCTCTAGTACCTCTGCCCTTTACAAATCCAGCCTGCTCAGGTGCTATTTGATACAAATACAGTCAGTATCAAATACGGACTACGGACTACAAATGAACGTTAAGAAAACCAAGTTCATAATTATTTCCAAGCAACATACAGTAGGAAGGCTAGATATCGAGGGAAAACAAGTAGAACGAGTGAATAACTACAAATATCCTGGGTAAATAAAAACAATGACCAAGTTAGAGAAATAAGAACACGCATTGCATAAAAATGAAAACCTTTTATCAATCGAGACCTTCCTCTGGGTCTGAGGATAAGAGCCTTAAGATGCTACGTGTTCTCGACTTTATTGTATGGAATTGAAAGCTGGACACTAAGAGTCGATAATATAAAGAAGTTGGAATTATTTGAGATGTGGTGTTAGAGAAGGGTTTTGAAAATACCATGGACCCAACGAGTTACAAATGCAGAAGTGTTAAGAAGCCTACAAAGGGATTGCGAGGTCATAAAGCACATCAAAATAAGAAAACTGGAATATTTATTCCACATTACCAGAGATGCGAAATATGAGATATTAAGGCTCATAGTGCAAGGTAAAATCAAGGGTAAAAGATACATAGGAAGACGAAGAATTTCCTGACTGAGAAACCTAAGAGAGTGGTATAGTTGCAGCTCAGTAGAACTTTTTAGAGCAGCCGCCAATAAGGTACGGATAACTGTGATGATAGCCAACCTCCGATAGGAGAAGGAACTACAAGAAGAAGAAGAAGATAGTTAGTCCGTTAGGTGTAATTTCAGTTTGTAGAGGAAACCTTTATTCTATACTCTATCAAATGCCTGTTGTATATCTAGAAACACTCCAGCGCAAAACTTTTTCTCTGCGAGAGTTGTTTTAATTATATTTACTATTCTGTGGCATTATTGGATGGTGGAATGTTCCCGTCTAAATTCAAATTGGTCTTGCGGTATAATTGTGTTTATGGTAACAACATTTATGGCTCGATTTTATGTAATAGTAGCCTTTCTAATACTTTTGACATATTAGAGTAGGCTTATAGGTGATATGAATTTGCTTGCATTGCGGGGTTACCAGGTTTTGGAATCATAGTAACTTGAGCAAATTTCTATTGTTTTGGAAAGTATCGAAGACGTAGCATGCTGTTGTATATCATTGTTAATAACACCACTGCTTTTCTCGGTAGCTTCTGAAGTAATTCTCCTGTTATCAAATCATAGCAGGAGCTTTCTTAGGATTTAGCATTTTTATTTGTTGACGAACTTCTGTCGGGGTAAATGTTGTTAGAGAAAGAGATAGTTGACATGGAGTTTGGAGGTACATTTTTATATTATTATCTGCTGCGAATACAGTTGTTTTTTCTGCGTTTAGACGGGTAGTAAAAAAAGAAAAATCAAAGAAGCGGCTTTAATTATGCTAAATGAGGCCAATTGTGTCGCAAATTCCTCGGCAGAATGTAGTAGGATCTGGTTACCAATATTGAAAGAGGAAGTTATTAATAAGAAAATACCAGTATTAGTAAGTCTGTATTGAAGGTAAACTAAATGCATGAACAAATACTTGCCATGTCGGGATAGTATTATGAGGTTTTTTCCTGGTTTTTCCCTCATAATTTACTATGGAATCACTAACAGGAGAATTTCACTGTCATCATGTCATGTGTTTGTCTTTTTAAAGACGAATTACATGCTATGATTTTTTTCTGACGGATATTCTCAAGATAAAGTTGATTTCATGTAATCGAATGAACTATCTTATAAATAAAGTCGTCCCAGGAGCGCAACTTAACAATATTGGCAATATCATTTTAAAGTCGTCTACTTTAAAATGCATAATGTATGTCTGAATTGTCAATATAAATGAGTCAGATAAAATTAAATTATTAGAAGAATTTTTCACCATGTAACAAAAAACAAAATTTGTTTAATTTACTGTTTGTATTTTGAGAACGATTTCCGAAGTGGAAATTGAAACGTCAATGAACGTATTTTTATCTTTAATTGTGGCTTATTCCCAGTTAAATAATAATTAATTTAATTTTCTTTTGTGTTTCCATTGACATTGAAAAAAATCTATTACTGATTAATCAGAAAAATGGTTTTAGAAAGAATCGACCAACATCTGATAAGATTCTGGAACTCGAAAACGATATTATAGAATCGTTTGCAACTAACAGAAAATGTACCACGATATTTTTTTACTTAAAGAATGCCTTTAATACGGCCTAAAACCAGAGAACATACGAACACATGCGTTCGTAGTTCTCTGCTAAAACATTCTATGAACGTTGTACGGGTAAAATATTCGGAGAAGCTGATAATCGTTTACAACAGTTTTTTGACCAATAGGACTTTTGAGTTAAGCGTTGTAAATTCGTGCTCGGAAATTCACTGCCTAACAAATGGAGTACCCTAAGGGTCCTTTATTAGCTCAACACTTTTCCTAATAGCGATTAATATTTTTTAAAAAACATAAAACTTTAAAAGCACAAAAAAATTATATTTGAAGCGTTTTCAGTTTGTTTATTATGACTTGAAAAATTTTAAATCAATTAATTGTTTCAGGTACAATGGCCGGAATTACTAACGGACAACTTTACGCATGGACATCCCCATTCATGGTAAAAATAGTTAATGACAAGGTGAATTTTAACATCACAGAAGAAGAGGCATCTTATTTTAATACAATAAATCCAATATTCACTCTACTCATTTGTCCGTTCTGTTCTAAACTTATTGATAATCTTGGTCGTAAGAAGGCAATATTGCTGATGACAGTACCGCAGATAGCTGGCTGGCTGTGTACCGCATTTGCCAAGGATGTTTACCTGTTTTATGTGTCGCGAGCCTTCTCGGGAATTGCCGATGGAATATTCTTTACAGCTCTACCTCCCTATGTCGGAGAAATAACAACTCCTGCAGTAAGGGGCAAATGGGGCAATCTTCTTGCAGGTTCTTACTACATAGGAGAGTTTTTAATTAACATCATAGGCAGCTACTTTGGAGTCGTGACAAGTTCTTATATATGTTTGCCCTTGTCTATTATATTTTTCATTTTGTTTTCAATGATACCCGAATCTCCTTATTTTCTATTAATAAAGGGCAAGGAAGGGAAAGCTAAACAGTCTTTAATATATTTTAGAGGGGACAAAAATATTGACGAAAATTTAAATCAACTAAAGCACGATGTTCAGCGACAAATGTCAGAATCAGGAACATGGAGGGATTTGTTCACAGTAAAAAGTAATAGGAAAGCTTTATTGGCAGCAGCTTTTTTGCGATTTACGCAACAAACGTCTGGGTTTTGTATTTTTATAACATATACACAGTTTATTTTTCAAAAAGCTGGAGGAAATTTAAGTCATGAGTTGTCTTCTATAATATACACAGGCGTTCAAGTGACTTTAAACTTTATCGTACTGGCGTTTATCATACACAGATTTGGACGGAGGGGCTGCTATATGACCAGCACTGGCGCTAATGGTATAGTACTATTTCTCATGGCAACCTATTTTTACCTCAATGATTTTACTAACATCGATGTTTCCAGTTTTAACTGGTTTCCGGTGGTTAGCACGGTTGTATTTCAAATGTTTGCTTCATTTGGCATAAATGTTATTCCCACTCTTATGTTAAGTGAACTTTTTTCAGTCAGTATTAAAACTAAAGCAATGGTCTTGGTTGTCCTAGTTTTTGGGATAGTTAGCGGGCTTGTTAATTATTTGTTTTATTTAATCAATGAATGGGCTGGATTTTTTGCTCCTTTCTATGTATTTGCAGCCTGTAACATTCTAGCTGCAATAATAGCCTATTTTATATTACCAGAAACAAAGGGTAAGACGCTAGAAGATATTCAGCAATCGTTGAAGAATAACAAAATATATTAGAAATAAGTATTATTATCGACATTAGGATATTTTTAGTCTGTGATAAATTATTAAGTACAATAGATTTTTTAATAACTCTTTTTATTTATACCCGAACTCGATATTACGGTGTCACCCATTATAAAAGATGACATTATCAAAATTTATAAATTTTCTTAGGTAGATATGGTCAGAGAACAAGCAGGTACCTGTTTAATAAAATGGAAATGGACATAATATTCCAGGGAAATAAGATTTTTCTCGTGATACTGACCCCACCAGGCAAACGACAGTTGTTTTGAGTAGTAAATAAGACGATAAAAATTACTATTATGTTTCCAGCAGTTCGATTCTTAAAACTTAATTAGTTATTAAAAAATAAAGTTAAAAAAGATAAACTTTTGGTTGTTTGGTCTATCAGCAAAAAGGAAAGCAACTAAAATAACGTCAGTTTTCATTGACGTTCCATAATATTTATTTGGGAGAAGCAAATCAGACAGTGGGCAGGAATAACTACCATAAATCTATTTAGAGCAGCTGTCAACAAAGTTATATGAACCAACCTGATTGCCAACATCCACAGAGGATAGGTACCAAAAGAAGAAGAGAAGTCCAGATGACCCTGCGCCTCCAGATATTCGCAGTAGCGTTTGTGAAAGTCTACCACTCATCTCCGTACGTCAGTATAGAAAAGATATAACATCGTAGTAACCTGATTTTTATGGGTACTGATAAATCATAGCATTTGAATGGTTTGGCCATTTTTTGAATGCAGATCTTGCTTTATTTTTTCTATATTTTATTTCTGGAGAATGATCCCGCTTTTCATTGACGAATTCACAGAAACGAAGATTTAAATTTACAGAAAAAAACACAAATATAAACTTGTTACAACGGAAGTGTGGTTCAGTTCCATAATAATATTTATTTGGGAGAAACATATACGAAAAAAGATTTATTGCAAATTATTAAGACTTTATCCATGATACTATGACTACAAGATAAGATATTGCGCATATTTTTGTGACGTCATTGGAGAGTTACACGTTCGAAATGTCAGTTTTTTGTATGTGTCAATAAATAATCTTTAATAAATAGATTGGAAATATCCTTATGTGTACAATTATTGTAATTATTAAACCTCTTAACTTATTTTCGTTTAGTAATTTCAACACAGAATGCATACAAATCCCATTTAACTTTAACAAGATTTCAAATTCTACTCTCCAATGACGGCATGCGCGAACACGACCGATTTTGAGCTACGGGAAGATCCTATCGTGTTATTCATAGTATTATGACTTTATCTATAAAAAAAATATGTTTTTGATAAGTATGCATAAAGTATGGCTCATACAATTTTAAGTCTGCCACCAAATTAGTGTATTTTATTCTTCTTTTATTGATCTTTTAAAGGGGTGTTTTCTTTTAGAGGTATAAAACTGTGAAATGGAATAAAAGAAAGATGGCTTTTATCAATTGACATGAAATTGAATTTATTCAAAAAAAAATCTTTTGGAATTATAATTTAAATACGATTTCTGGCATATGACCGTTATGGATGGTTCGTATGGACGTTCCAGATTAGACTCTGACGTAGTCTAATCTGGAAGTTTAGACTACGCCACGCGTTTAGAGGCGACTAATGTTGTCCTTAAACTGGTCAATCGATGCATGCTTATCGGCGTAGACTAGAACCTTCATATATCCTCACATAAAATAGTCTAGCAGTGCTAAATTGCATGATCTTGAAGGCCAATTCACGGTCCGATACGTGTAACTATGCGGTTCCACACGTTTCCTTTTATAAATAAATTGTGGCACGAGCTCTATGACATGTTGCACCGTCTTATTAAAACGACAGCTCCTGCATATCATTATTGTTCAATTGGGAAATGAAAAATGCAGTAATCATGGCTCTATAGCGGTCACCATTGACTGTAACGTTCTGGCCAGCAATATTTTTGAAAAAGTACGATCTAATGATTCCACCAGACCATAAAGCACACCAAACAGTCAGTTTTTCTGAACGTAATGGTTTCCCATCAATTTTAGTAGATGGTGTGGAATCACAGGCTCTCAATATTAAAAGAGAAGTACGGCAGGGATTCCTCTTGTCACCCCTGCTTTTCAACGTTTACTCCGAGAATTTTTAGAAAAGCACTTTCTGAAAAACAAGAAGGAATACTTGTGAATGGTAAAGTCATCAACAATTTGCGATGTGCGGACGATACAGTAATCCTAGCTTCTAGTCAAAAATATCTACAAACACTACTTGATAGTGCAGTTGAGAGTTGTAGAGAGACAGGTCTAGATCTGAACATACCGAAAACCAAAATACTCGTATTAAGTAAACAACAGCGTATAAAACCGTCTATATTGTTAAGAACAATCCTTTCCGCGTGGCCCGCCTAACGGTCGCATCTCGAAGCACCGAGAGTTTCGGCGATATATCGAGCGCTGTAAAATTCCACCCGTCAAATAACGAATTAGAGGTGGGACTACTCCCGAATATTCTCGAACATAATACTTTATTATATATTTGTAACGAAATTAGGAGTTAAGTCAGTTGACAAGATAGTACCGAACTGTAAAGTTATAAATAAATATATTTATATAAATTCGAACCGCTCGTTTTATTTAAAAACGGTACAATATATGTAAGCAATACCAAACTTGAGCAAGTTGATAAAATCGTTTACCTTGGACAGCAATTAAATTGTAACGCAGAAAGTCACGGCGAAATTAGATCTATGATAGAGCAGGCTAGAGCTGCTTTTAGAAGAATCTTCAGAATTGTCTCGGAACGTCTTCTGAGGTGTCCTGCCCATTGGAGTCTTCTGGACTTTATTTCTTTTATGATGTTGGCGTCTGGGTAAACACATCTGACATCAATTAAAATCTGGCATTAAAAAAAATGTTACACCTACTCTAAGGGCTTCTGTAATTCAACTTAATAAAAGTGAAGTACAATATAACTATATAAGCAGCTGGCAAAATGCAACTGCAGAAATAGCAACAGCTGAAAATTCCTCTTTTCATAGTATTATTAGTTACACAGTATTATAATTAATTTAGCAGATGATAGTAACGATGCCACTGACCTCACACATTAATTTGTTTATATAACTGTATTATCATTTTGTAAATAAAAATTTACTTAATACTTAATAAATATCTCATATGCTTTTACTTATGTTTGTGCATCTTACTTTTTTTTTTGAAAAATTGGTAATGATTTTACAATTCTAATTTTCTATGTATATCAGGATATCTCGTATAAAACTCGTATGGTCCGTGGGTACGTCCTTTTATTAAACACGGCTCTTTAAAAAGTTCAAAACTGGAGCTGTTCCTTCTAAAACCCCCGCTGTTGTTATTGCTTAGTTTACCAAAAGTATGCATAATTCAAGGCACTATATTTGTGAATGAATCTTATACTTCATGTGAGCATATCATGTACAAGTATCTTATATCAGATTTTCGGAAGACATAGGTAAATAAACTTTTTTTTTATTATAATACTCTTGACGACAGTCATATAATTCTAACTGTTATGTTATTGTTGTTCAACAAATTTGATATTATACAAGGTTTATTTTAATAACGTTTCTTATCTCCTAAAAACTATTAAATATGTGTATTTGTCACAAATAGAGCGTAAAATCTGCAAAACCTAATGAAAATATTGACAGTTTTTACACACATATATAAATGAAAACATCGCTAAGGAACTTTAATATTTCTCTATTAAAGAACTTTAATAGAGATATAGAAGATCAAAATGAATAACGAGGTAAACGTTGAAAAAAATAAAGTTTCGAAAAATGAGCAGGAAAAGACATGGCCACAAATCTACGCCGTATTAATAAGTAAGTAAACTAAGTATTTTATTAAATGATTATTCATAAACAATCAACTTTTATATCAGACTGTATTCTATTCATATTGTTTATCTTTCAGAAATGCTATTATCGATTTTTAATGATTATTAATATTATCTTCTGCTCTTATTCAGTTTGTCTTCATTTTGTTGAATAGTGAAATATGTAAATTTTCATTTAAGTTTGCTATGTAATTTCATTGACTTTTGTATATTCTAGCGATTCTTTACAGCTAAATTAACAGTTTCTCGTTTTCCATACACCATCCTATTTTCTCATTCCAGGAGTCTCTTTTTCCAAATTTCTTCTTTTGAGGGCTTCTTTTATACCTTCTTTTAATTTGTTTTACTGGACGGCCTCTCCCTCCGTTCGGCTCGCCGAGATAAGAATACGGCCGAGGCCAGAAGACCCTGCCTGTCGTAAGAGGCGACTAATGGGAAGGAAATGAGAGGTGAAGAACCGTCGTTCGAGGTGTCGGGTTTATAGAAACTTAAGCTATAGATAGATCTATATCTATAGATATAGATCTTAATATAAAAACTTAACTAGCTTACATCATTTTCTATTAAACCCTTTTATTTTCTTCTGAGAATATCTACACTTCTGCTCTGGTGATACAATGCTTTCTACCAATAATCTAAACAACTTTTACTTCGTTTGATTTAACAAACTTTTGGTCCATAGTAGGAACTGGAACCTTTTTTTTTACAAACATAGTCGCATCAACCTATGAGGTTATTAGCGACATATATACATATACATGAGATAATTTACTTATAAATATTAAATTTTATATATAAATATTTAAAAGTATATGAATGTATTTAAGGAATTATACCAAATGTTCAATTTTACATTTTTCTCCTAGGATTTCACTTGTTGATCCGATGATGTGGTTGGTCTGTCTCTGCAACTGGTATATTGGATACTCTATAATGACGTGCTTAACATTGAGTAAAACATTACAGTTGTCACATAAAATTGGATTAGTGTGACCAATTATATTCCCGTGAGTAAGTCGAATATATCCAAGCCGAAGTCGAGTGACAACGTATTCCCAATTCTGTTGGAGCTATGATATTTTCACGATTTAACATATATGTTTTCACTTCGCGAAGTTTTGAAGTTGCACGTCTATTGCACTATATTTCTCACTTCATCAGCGGTTTCACTGTTTCTTGCTTGGTGTACAATACGATC